GCCTTTTCAATCTCTTCTCCTGTTATGGGTCTGTTCAGATTTTCAATATCACTTTGTTGTAGTTTGGGTAGGCCGTGTGTTTCTAGAAATTTATCCGTTTCCTCTAGGTTTTCAAATGTAGTTGTGTATATTTTAAAGCTCTATGAAACAAAATCTTTAAAAAGAATTTTTCATGGTCCTAACTCAAGATATCTGTGTACTCTTGTATTGTTTGTTTTTAAATCCTGCTGTTATAACTTGAAAAAACATGGCATAAGAAGAATTTCTTTTCTTCTTGAAAATCTATGGTGTTGCTTTCAGTTATGTTAAGAAGGGAAATCATAACCCTGTGTTATAATCTGGTAATACATTCTGATGTCTTCAAAAAGTGATTTATTCACAGAAGAATTTACCTTTTTTGTTCTTGACTGTGATTAAAATCTGGGAGAATCACCTTTTAAGATTACAGGGAAAGTTGTATGTTGTGCTTGGCCGAGCACTTTAAATGTAGTAAAATACCATTGTTGAATAATGTAAGAAATTTAAATCACTAAGACCAACTTTGCTTTATTTCATATGTATTATGAAGAATTTGTAGGAAAAGAACACGTCTTAGCCTAAGGCAGTCATGGCAGGCATATGACCTAAGTCAAACTATGCTTGAGCCAAACCAGTTGGAATGAGTATTAGGACATTTACTGGGAATGTTGAGATAAAGGCACATAATCTTTTCTGCTAAATTTCAACCTGAAAACATACAGCCATTGTGAACTGCTGGCAGTTATGTTCTGATCACAAATAAGAAGCCAACACTGAGGAATAAAAAAAACAAACCGGTTGCCATCCAGTCAATTCCGACTCCTAGTGACCCTGTAGGACAAAGTAGAACTGCCCCATAGGGTTTCCAAGGACCGGCTGGTGGATTCAAACTGCTGACCTTTTGGTTAGCAGCCATAGCTCATAACCACTATTCCACCAGAGCTCTAACACTGAGGAATGGAGCAGAAAAAAACCATTCCCTGGTCACCTTTGTTCAATTGCTGGATCAAGCCTTCTCTGAAGCTAGTATACCTCTTAGACTTTGCAGTTGCTTGAACCAGTAAATTGCTTGTTTTTTCCAGTTGGCTCTGGATTTTCTCTTACCTGTATGTGGAAGCAGCCCAACTGGTAGATCTTCATCCTTACCCATTCTCCATGTATATAATGCGAACTCAAGGGACTTATTAAAACTTGCATTGTGAATTTGGCAAGTTAGATGGGATGGCAGGTAATGCAGTCCATTCATTGATTTTATTCAACCAGTTAAGGTAAGTGCAAGGGCTCTGGTGTGTAAAGAACAGGCTTCTTAGCTCTTCTATCAAGGGCATGGGAAGGGTCCTGGCAGCACAGGTGACCACTCATGTGCATATCCATGAGTATTTTCTGAGAATTGGTTCCTAGAGGTGGAATTCTAGGGGTAAAGTCACGGACACATTATTAGGGCTTTTTAACTTTGTCAAGTTGTTGATCTGTAATCCTAGGATGGATCACAGTGACTGTTTCCCTGAATCCATGACATCCTTGGTCTTGTAATTTTTAAAAGTCTTATCAGTTTGTGCAGAAGATATGTGTTATTGTCTTTATTTTTATTTCTTTAATTGGCATTCAGGTTTAACATTTTTCATGGATTTATTACTTGTTTGTTCTCATTTTTCCTTCAGGATTTTTAAAGACTATAAGTAGTCTTTACAGGTTTATTTTTTAAGAGCGATACACAGTAAGTTAAGAGAGTAAGCTCTGGAGCCAGATTTTTTTTCTTTCCCCCTAGATACTTGAGTTTGAATCGTGGTTTCACATTGGGTAAATTCGTACCTTCTTTTTTTTTTTTTTAACTATAAATGAGAATAATAATAGTACGTACTCCATAAAATTGTCACTAGCATTAAAAGAGTTAATATATAGCAAGCACTTAGACAGGTACCTTATATGTAGTAAGTAAAGTTGGACGTACAGAGAATAAATTAAATATAAGTCACCAGATAATTATAAACATGATAAACAGATATTTATACGAGCCCTGGTTGGCGCAGTGGTTAAAACACTTGACTGCTAACCAGAAGGTTGATGGTTTGAACTCGCCAGCCGTTCCAGTGGAGAAAGATGTGGCAGTCTGGTTCTGTAAAAATTTACGGCCTTGGACACCCTATGGGCGAATTCTATTCCTCTGTCACTATGAGTCAGAATCGACTTGACAGCAGTGGGTTTGGTTTTAAACAGGTATTTAAAATAGACGTAGAATTCAGGTGTTAGTAAAGAGTTAAATTGGTGGCAATGTAGAACTTACACTACATTACAGTAGTCTTAAAAATTCTGAATAATCCTCAACATTTAAAATATGACATTCCATTGCTGATGGCATAGTTTCAGGCTTTTCAGAATACTTACTATATTGCTGAAATATGCCTCTTAAAATATGCCATTTGAAATAAACTTTTTTCCGCCTGGCATTATCATTAAGAAATGTTTTCTCTTTCATTTCTCATTTCAAAAACCCCTGTGAGCACCTTCCGCTTGGCAGTCAGTATACCTAAGGCGGGGGGCAGAAGGTCAGCCTAGGACTTACTGACGGTACCTTTGTACTCAGCGTACTGAAATAAT